AAATAGTTGGTAGAATAAAACAATGCCAACAAAATAGTTGGTAGGATAATTGTCCACCAAAATAACCGAAAGGGCATGGGTTCAAATCCCACAGCTGTCACCAGAACACCTAAGAAGGCAATCAGCTTCGCCACGGCTTCTTCTCCTCAATTCTCTTTCTCTCTCTAACAAACTCAGTATGCAGATCTCCTGCTATTTGGTGGGGTTTTATAGAGAAGAGATGTAACAATTTTGTAATGGGGTTCCCCTGTATATCCTATTACTGGAATTACTTCATGATACAAAATTTCACAAAATTACTGAGAACAATCCCCATGCATTTAGTGAAACTTTTTTTTTTCAGCTACAAGGACAATTTTATATATAGCGACAATATATAAGCCAATAGAATAGCACAATTTGTAGCCACTAATATTTAGTGAAGAAGAAAAATAGTTGGTAAAATAAATAGTTTCTGTCAAATCAGGTAAAAGAAAAAAAAAATTACTGAGAACAATCCCCATTAATTTAGTGAATTTTTTTTTTTCAGCTATATGGACAATTTTATATATAGCGACAATATATAGGCCAATAGAATAGCACAATTTGTAGCCACTAATATTTAGTGAAGAAGAAAATAGTTGGTAGAATAAATAATTTCTGTCAAATCAGGTAAAAGAAAAAAAATAGAGTAGTAAATAGTTGGTAGAATAAAAATCAATACCAACAAAATAGTTGGTAGAATAATTGTCCACCAAAATAACCGAAAGGGCATGGGTTCAAATCCCACAGCTGCCACCAGAACACCTAAGAAGGCAATCAGCTTCGCCACGGCTTCTTTCTCCTCAATTCTCTTTCTCTCTCTAACAAACTCAGTGTGCAGATCTCCTGCTATTTGGTGGGTTTTATAGAGAAGAGATGTAACAATTTTGTAATGGGGTTCCCCTGTATATCCTATTACTGGAATTACTTCTTCACCAAGTCAAAGAAATGATATAAAATTTCACAAAAATTACTGAGAACAATCCCCATGCATTTAGTGAAATTTTTTTTTCAGACGCACAGGCAAATTTATATATAGCGACAATATATAAGGCAATAGAATAGCAATTTGTAGCCACTAATATTTAGTGAAGAAGAAAAAAAAAATTCAGCCGCACAGATAAATTTATATATAGCGGCAATATATAAGGCAATAGAATAGCACAATTTGTAGCCATTGATATTTAGTGAAGAAGAAAAAAATTTCAGCTGCACAGATAATTTTATATATAGTGGCAATATATGAGAAAATAGAATAGCACGTATTTACAGAGGCAATTGTATACACAGAGAGGCGATTATATATTTGTGACACAAATTCTATCATAAAACATTAAATCTAAAATATCTATCCTTCCATCATTTTATGATATCACTACGTAATTCCAAGCAATCTCTTAAACAAAGATATACATGTTAATCCTTTAAACAATTGTGACGATAAAGGAATAAGAGAAACAAGCTTGCTGTAGATTTAAGAAAGTTTTTTTTTTTTAAGATTGTGAACAATAACATAGAGACGAAGCTGAAACCTGGTCTTGCTCATGATTGACCAAAAGAAAGGAACACCACGAAGATGAAACCTGGTCTTGCTCGTGATCGATCAAAAGAAAGAAACACCTGGTTTGTTTTGATAGCAATGTTAGTGAAAATTGATGGAGCGTGGATGATAACAAACCCGAGATCAGAGAAGAGTGCCGTGAGGCTGGTGATCGCAGAGTCCAAATTTTAGATTCCTTCACGTTTAGAGAGAGAGAAGAATTGTACACATTTTTCTTGTTGTGTCTTCCTCTCTTTAGCTTCCCATTTTTATAAGGAGAAGAAGGGCTAACGTATATATTTCTCCAACAGGTCTTTGAGAAATGGTCTTCGTTGATCTCATGAATATTCATCCAACGTTAATATGGACATTGGATGTAATTATTATTTTTTGGATAATTATAATGATCATTGGATTCCCACAATTGTAGGCTAAGACACGTAAGGCCTCATAGCCATACGAATCAACATCAATAGATACAGATGGTCATATTTTTCCACTCGGTATATTATTTCTCATAAGATTTCTATTGATATCACATTATGTATGCAGCATTTTAATGAGACCTTCAAAGCATGTGCATCTTACTAGTATAAATAAAATTTACAATGCAATTGTCTTTGCTTAAAGATGTATGAACTGTAAATGTAACCTAGATAGTAACCTCATAAATGTGTAAAAAACTGTAAAGGATCCCTCACTTCTGATCCAAACCATTTCAATACCAACTTCCAAGGAAATTCGACAAAAAACCAACAACATAATAAGTAAGAAAAACATAAAAATACATACCCAAAAAAGTCAACATGAAATTTACTTTGTTCAAGGGCATTGAAGCCATTAAATATCAACAATTCATATTAAATCCACATAAATATTTCAAAACTGAAGCTAAATTTATAAGGTGGAGATAAAGAAGCCTAAAAAATTCAAACATGCAACAACAATTACTAAAAGGATCGAATCCACAATGCAAATTCAAAATATAAATGAAAACTTTTGGAGTGAACAAGAACCCACTTACCTGAAGGCTCGAATCAATAGGAATCCAGTTGCGAAGGGGATCATTGGGATCTCGGAAATGAGATGCGGGTAAGAATTGCAGCAAGGCAAGGGAGATGATGACTAAAAAGGCCAAAAAAGGGGCAAAAGGCCATGGCTTAGGAGGTGGTTCAATGTCTGGGTGAATAGGAACCCCATTTCTCCTGTTAATTGTGGAGTTAGTACCAGAGTTCCTTCTGGTTGCTCCTCCTCCTGATATATGGAGATTGATTTCAGGCATAATTTATTCCTTTGTGAATTGGGTAAGGAGTGGAAACCCAACCCCAAAACACTATGAGAAAGTCTATGGATTTGGCTTGGGATTGTCCTTCAAGCCTCCTTAGTCCCTGCCTGTTTACAGGAGACGCTACTCATGAATATGGCTCTCTCTCTCTGGCATTTTTTGTGTGTCCCTCCCTCTGCTCTCTGACTGAAGGTCCTTCAGAGATTGTGAGGTACAAACTTGCAGTATTCATGGCTTTTCTCTCTCTCACTAAAGGTACAAACTTGCAGTACTCATGCTTCTCTCTCTAAAGGTACAAACTTGCAGTATTCATGGCTTTTCTCTCTCTCTCGACTTGCAACATTCATGGCTGCCGTCTCTCTCCCTTCGAGAGGTGAATCTCTCTCTAAAATTTCCTTCCTCAAATTCCTTCTTTTTATCGCTAAATTCTCTTTCTCAAAACGGTGCTTTTTCTCTCTCTAAGTTTAAAAATTATTTACACCTCGCCCCTTCGATCCTAAAATTAAGGATGCAGTTCGCACATCCGTAGCGGCAGAAGTTGGGTGCACCTTCAAATTTTATCATGATATATAATTTTGATATAAAATATTTGCGCTATTTCAAAAATTTATTTTTATATTTAATAATAAAATTTTAAATTTTAAAAATAGTTAAAATAAAGTAGACTTATAAACATATGAAAAATATTGAAAATGGACAGTATAGATAATATGTTGTAAAATACACTATTTTTAATATTTAAAATATTTTTATTTTTCATGGTCATACATCTCGATGTCAAGATGATCAATCAAAATATTTTTCAACATTAAAACTACGTTTTTCGATGGATTTTTGAAGTATATCTGGAGTTCTACATTGTAAAGTTGCATCTTTATATAATTTTTTTTTTAAAATTAAACATCCTTTCTTAATTTTCATTTTCTTTTCTAAAACTAATGATGTCTTTTCCTTTTTTTTTTTTGGCATGATCCTTTTTAGCTTCACATGATTTAGGATTCTTTCTATTTGGTTTAGTGATTCAATCATATGGTGAGTGTATTATTGGACCGGCCACAAATCCGTCAAACTATATGATATACATGGTTTTTAAAGTAAAAATAAAAAATTAATTCAAATAAGGCTGCAATGATGCATCATATTTTTAATAGGGCCGTGGTGTACAAGGGAAATCCTTAAATGAATCTTGGGGCTTCACGGCCCTATTAGGCCGCATTTTGGGTTAAAAAAGCAACTATTAGGTATGAATATAATTTTTTTAAAAAATAAATTTTAAAATTTTGAAACTATATATTTTGGTAAGTTTCCTTTTTTTTTTTTTCTGGTTCAATTCAAATAACATTTAAAAGACCAATAACTTTACTTTAAATTTTTTATAGATATTTTCATTATTTCGTTTATTTTTCTTCACTTTCCCATATCTTTCCGGCCTCTTTTAATTTTATGTCTCACTCTTTTTTTCCTTTTCTTCACACTTACATAATTTTGGCCTTTTCGTTTTATTTTTAGTTGCAACTGCCAGTGATTTCCTTTTTGTAATATATGGTTTCTTAAGGGAGCATACTAGAATTATTTCCTTGGTTAGGAGATTACTTGGGAGTCTTTTTTTTTTTTTTTTAACTGAAAATTTGGGAGCTATCTAAGAATTATTAGATGATTATTTTTTTAAAAAATTGAATTCTGAGTTGTTTAACACTTAAAAAAAATTAGACGGTTTGTATTTAATCTCGAGATATTATTTTCTTCGATTGAATAGAAAGTTTAATTTGGGATTTTTGTAAAACAATTTATCAAAATACCCATTACACAAAGTATTTAATATTTTTCCATTTGCAACTATTCCAACTCAAAGACCT